ATTGAGAATACCATGGACTGCTAGGAAAACAAACAGGTTTGTCCTGGAAAGGGTTAAACCGGGTGGCTCTTGGAGGCAAGGATTCTGAGGTTCCGTCTAACATACTTTGGACATATTGTGAGGAGAGACCTGTCCTTGGAGAAGGACATCATGCTTGGGAGGGTGGAGGGACGGCGCAGGAGGCGAAGGCCCTCTATGAGGTGGATTGATTCAGTAACTGGGATAATCGGGATGGGAGTGTCAGAGACAGTGCGATGGGCACAAGACAGAGCAGAGTTTAGGGCTGTTGTACATAGGGTCGCTATGAATCGCAAGCGCGACTCGACGGCACATATCAACAACAACAACAACAACGATGGCTTAGTAGTAAGGAACTGCACTGCCAAATCAAAGGTCTGCTGATTTGACTCCACCATCTACTCTGTGGGAGAAAGATGGCTTTTTTACTGCCTCTGAAAACTTGGTGGAGGGTCAGCAATGGTTGATTCGGACTTGATGGTACACAACAAACAACTCAGTTTTTGAGGGAGTAAAAGGGAATGATTGACTTAAAATTTCTGGAACACTAATTTTCTGTTAGGGAGTTACTGGAAAATGCATGCAAAGGTTATGGGAAAAAAAGTGCTGTTAGGTGAGTTCTCTTCTGGCATTTGATCAGAATAATGTGATAGAAGAGATCAGTGGAAAAATCATTCATATGGCAAGAACGCTAAATTTAGAACTTGATATTGGTGATTGGATAATAATAGCTCATAGATCATGAAGACAGAAGTTGACAGATAATAACTTGTGGATTATGAAGAGAAAATAAATGTTGAAGAAGTAATGAGGAAGAAGGAACAAAAGTATGGGGGGAAATAAGAAAAGTGACAGTGAACGGATGAGATATTTTCCTAAACAAAGTTTATTTCCTCAAAAACATGAACTCAAATGCTGAATACCTTGCTAAAGTTGAGAGGCAGATTTGGGAAGAAGGGAGATGTTACAGACAAATATATAAAGAAAAAAGGATCATATAGATGATTATAATTTTTCTGACTAGAAACAGCATTTCTATTGCCAAGGATAATCCAGAGGACCTAGCACTTTCCACAAGTGGAATCATTACCACAACTGACACAATGTCAATGTCATCGAAACTCGTGTTCATTGCCAGCATACGTTTTTATGATTTTTGTGTGTTTTAATGTTTGTATGAACGGGAGCTCTGGTGATGTGATGCATTATGTGTGGCGCTGCTAAATGAAAGTTTTGAAGTTCATATCCACCCACTGCTTTTAGGGAGAAAGCTGGGGAGTGTACCCCTGTAAAGATTGGAAGCATTAATTAGAATGACTAATGGCAGTGGTTTTGGCTTTTTTATGTATTAAAATATACCTCTAAGTTAAGTTTGAACACAAGGAAATTTCAGATTTATAAAGATACTGATTTTAAAAGGCAATTATAAGAAAATGAAGGAAAAAAGAGGTCTTTTAACGTCGGTCAAACCCAACTAACGATGGAGTGGTTGGAATGAAACCACATCATAAGTCAGGGACTAATCAACGTTGGAACAATAGTTTATGCACTTATAGACTTAAGGCCAGGGTAAGAATAGCTCGGGAGATGAAAAGGAACACCCCCAGTGGGATAAAGCAAACTCTTTGCAGCATGTGAGATGCAGAGAGCTGGGGGGCCGCTCACCAGCCTTCGCGGCTTCTTCCTGCTGCTTCCTCTCCTGCAGCTCCTGCAGTCTCCGCCGGAACTCCTCCTGCTGCTGCCGAGCGCGCTCACGAGCTGCCTGCAACTGCAGCTGCCGCCGTATCTCCTCCTCTTCCTGCTGCCGCTGCTCGTCTTCGCGCCTCTGCTTTCTTAAGCTGAGAAAATGTGCAAGACTGTGAGGGAACTGGCACAAATACTGGGGCATTCTTCTAAGAGCAGCCCAAGACTCTGCAGCCTGTAGGCCAGACTAAGGGGCCAGATGCAATATCCCTCCTTCAGAAGAGACTCAGTTTACTAAGGAAAGCCAGGATTGCAAGTCCGCTATGGCATTGGGATTCAGACTCAAAGAAAACGCAAACTCACAGCTGTCAAGTCTGTGCTGACGCATAGCGACCCTCCATTGGTTTCTGAGGCTGTAAATCACATCGGGAGGAGACTGCTCATCTTTCTCCCAGGGAGCTTCTGGTGGATTTGAACCACCAGAGAGATGCACTGGATTACAGCACAACTTTGTGCTCCGGAGTAAACCCAAGTTATCCAACCTGTTGCTGTCGGTTGATTCTGACTCATAACAATCCTAAAGGACAGAGTACAACTGTCCCACCGGGTTTGCGAGGCTGTAAATCATTATGGAAACAGACTGCCTTGTCTCCCCCGACCCCTACGCTGCTGGTGGGTTTGAACTCCATACCTTTAGGTTAGTAGCTGAGTGCTCAACCATCTGCGCCACCAAGTTAAGAATCATAAATTTTCAATAGTTTCATTTTCTAGTCTTTTATGTTTGAAACTCACAAGGTTGTGAAGATTGAATTAAATGAGTTAAAACCTGTGAATGAGCCAGACAGTTTCTCAGAGGCCCAGCAAATGTGTCAGATTTGAATTTCAAAGTCGTCCCAGGAACCTCCACCAACATCTGTCTTGAGTAACCTGTGACTGTCTTATCTTTGGTTCTGGTTCAGGCATCTGCATGCCAGTTTACATCAGGCATGAGCCTCAGAAGCCAGTTTTGCCCTATTGGAGGTCAGCATGGGCGGTCTGTGGCCGCCCAACCCACGGGATCTTCTCAAACACATGAAGTCAAATGCTGATCACCTGGCCAAAGCTGAGAGGCAGATTTGGGAAGCAGCAAGATGTTATGGCAAAACCTCTGTCTCTCTCTCTCAAAAAAAGGACCATGCAGATAATTCCAATTTTCTGACTAGAAACACCTGGACAATCCAGAGGATCCAGAACTTTCCACAAGTGGAATTATTACCATAATTGATGCAATGTCAATGCCATCCAAACCCTTTTCATTACCCGCATACATTTTTATGATTTTTGTGTGTTTTAATGTATGTATGAACAGGAGCTCTGTTGATGTGATGCATTCATTATGTGTTGTGCTGCTAACCGTGAGTTCAGAAGTTCAAATCCACCAGCTGCTCTGAGGGAGAAAGCTGGGCAGTGTCCTCCTATAAAGGCTAGTAACCTGATGGAGGGTTGCTATGCTATGAATTGGAGTGACTGCTTGACCCACCGGATCTCCTCCGCGCGTCTTTGCTGCTCCAGCTCCAGCTCCTGCTTCATCTTCTCCACCCGCTCCAGCTGCTCCTGCTGGAGCCGCCTCTGCTCCTCCTGCTCCCTCCTCTTCCTCTCCACCTCCAGGCGTCTCATCTCAGCCTTCTCTGCTCGAAGCCTGTCCCGGGACGCTTTCTCCTGCTCTCTCTTGGCAAAGAGGGCCTACGAGACCAGAGGATTCTTAGCGTAGAGGACTGTGTTGGACATGGATGACCTTGTCTCTGTAGTAGACCATCCTCTCCCCTAGTGTTGTATCTAATCCGAAACAGAGTCATGGAGCCCATACTCTCTCCACAGCTGCATAAACTCTGGTGGGCTTAGGGGGTTTATTCCTTTGGGATTTGAGGATCACAACTTCTCTTGTTACTGTCTTCCTCATGGGTGTGTTAACTAGGCTTGGTTGAAATAGTGAAAGTGCCAACATGTTGTTGTTGTTATGTGCCGTCGAGTCGCTTGCGACTCCTAGCGACCTACAACAGCCCTAAACTCTGCTCTGTCCTGTGCCAATCACACTGTCTCCAACACACTCATCCCGATTATCCCAGTCACTGGATTAATCCACCTCATAGAGGGCTTTCCCCTCCTGCGCTGTCCCTCCCCCCTACCAAGGATGATGTCCCTCTCTAAGGACCAGTCCCTCCTTACAACATGTCCAAAGTATGTCAGACGGAGCCTCAGAATCCTTGCCTCCAAGGAGCCGCCTGGTTTAAGCCTTTCCAGGATGAGTCTGTTTGTTTTCCTAGCAGTTCATAGGACCCTCAATACTCTTCTCTAGCATCACAGCTCAAAGACATCAATTCTCCTTCTATTCTCCTTAGTCATTGTCCAACTCTCTGATGCATAACAAGTGATAGCAAAGAGCATGGCCTGTATCAGACGCACTTTAGTCTCCAGAGAGACACCATTGCTCTTCAATACTTTGGAGAGGTCTCTAACAGTAGACTTTTCCATAGCAATATGTCTTTTAATTTCCTGGCTACTGGTACTGAGAGTGTTGATTGTGGAGCCAAGCAAACTAAAGCTGTGAACAATCTCAGTCTCTTCATCATCCATCCTGATGCTGCCAATTGGTCCAGTAGTGAGAATCTTTGTCTTCTTGACATTGAGCCTCAATCCATATTGGAGGCTGCAGTCTTTGACCCAACATACTGCTTGGTATATCATATATTCTGAATTCTCAACCCTAGCAGCACTTTAGTACCACCCCTAAACAAAACAAAGCAGCCCATAATTAACAAACCCTGTTGCTGACCCATAGAGACCCTACAGGGTCAAACAGAAATACCCCACAGGATTTCCAAGACCTTCGAAGTAAGGATGAGAAGACTTCCACCTCATATACTTGGGGAAAATTACTAGAAGGGGCCAGACCCTGGAGAAAGGTATCTTGCCTTGGTAGCAGGTCAATGAAAAAGAGGAAGACCTTCAGTGAGATAAACTGACACACTGGCTGCAACACAGAAGGAGTGGTGAGAAGGGCACAGGACAGGGCTTCGTTCTGTTGTACACAGGTCACTGTGAGGTGGAGTTGACCTAACAGTACCCAACAGCAACAGGACTGGAGAAAGACTCATCAACCACCTGCCTTATGCAGATGAGACAACATTTTCTGCTCAAACTGAGGAGGACCTCAGGCATTTAGTGAAGAAGGTCAAAGACTGCAGCCTTCAATATGGATTGAAGCTCAACATCAAGAAAACAAAGATTCCCAATTGGCAACATAATGATAGAGAGGAGATCGAGATTGTTAACAGCTTCAGCTTGCTTGGCTCCACAATCAAAACTCTTGGTATCAGCAGCCAGGAAATTAAAAGACGAATTGCATTGGGAAAATCTGCAGTCAGGGACCTCTCCAGAGTACTGAAGACCAACGGTGTCAGTCTGGAGACTAATGTGCACCTGATCCAAGCCACAGTCTTTGCAATTACTTGCGATGCATCAGAGAGCTAGACAATGACTAAGGATGATGGAAGAATTGGTGCCTTTGCGTTGTGGTGCTGGGGAAGAGTACTGAATATACCCATGGACTGCTAAGAAAACAAACAGGTCTGTCCTGGGGAGGGTGAAATGAGGCTGCTCCTTGGAGGCAAGGTTTTTGAAGTTCTGTCTCACATACATTGGGCATGCTGCCAGGAGGGACCGGTCCTTGGAGAGGGACATCATGCTTCGAAGGGTGGTTGTTGTTGTTGTTAAGTGCCGTTGAGTCACTTGCGACTCATAGCGACCCTATGTACAGCAGCCCTAAACTCTGCTCTGTCTTGTGCCAATCGCATTGTCTCTGACACTCCCATCCCGATTATCCCAGTCACTGAATCAGTCCACCTCATAGAGGCATAGAGGGCCTTCCCCTCCGGCGCCGTCCCTCCACCCTCCCAAGCATGATGTCCTTCTCCAAGGACTGGTCTCTCCTCACAACATGTCCAAAGTATGTTAGACGGAGTCTCAGAATCCTTG